GACAAATGGGGACAATGGGGACACGGAGACGACACATAGGCAACAAATGGGGACACAGAGGTGACAGTGGGGGCAATGGGGACAAATGGGGACAGTGGGGATGTGGTGACAATGGGGTCACGTTGACAGTGGGACACAGAGGTGACAGTGGGGACAGTGGTGACAAATGGGGACACAGAGGCAACAATGGGGACAGAGAGGTGACAGTGGTGACAAACGGGGACACAGAAGCGACAATGGTGACAAATGGGGACACAGAGGCAACAAATGGGGACACAGAGGTGACAATGGTGACAAATGGGGACAGAGATGACAGTGGGGACAGTGGTGACAGATGGGGACACAGAGGTGACAAATGGGGACAAATGGGGACACAGAGGCGACAAATGGGGACAGTGGTGACAAATGGGGACACAGAAGCAACAATGGTGACAAATGGGGACACAGAGGTGACAATTGGGACAAATGGGGACACAGAGGTGACAGTGGGGACAGTGGTGACAAATGGGGACAGTGGGGATGTGGTGAAAATAGGGTCGCGTTGACAGTGTGGACAGAGGTGACAAATGAGGACACAGAGGTGACAGTGGTGACAAATGGGGACACAGAGGTGACAGTGGGGACAGTGGGGACAAATGGGGACACAGAGGTGACAATGGGGGCAAATGGGGACACAGAGGCGACAAATGGGGACACAGAGGTGACAGTAGGGACACAGAGGTGACAATGGTGACAAATGGGGACACAGAGGTGACAATGGGGACAGTGGGGACGTGGTGACAATGGGGTCACGTTAACAATGCGGACACAGAGGTGACAATGGGCACAACGGTGACAAACGGGGGCAACAGGCACGGTGACAACCCCGGCTCAGTGGTGCCGACGGGGACGCAGAGGTGACAGGGAGGTGACAAAGGTGACGAGCCGTCGGCTGACCTGAGCAGGTCCCGTTTGTCACGGCGGTAGAAGCGGAGCAGGCAGAGGTGGAAGGGAACCCCGACCAGACGCCAGCGGGCGCGGATGCAGCCCAGCTCCGGGTGCCTCGTCAGCGCCAGCACCTCCAAACGGACCCCGGCAAAATAACCCCAAACCGCGGCCCGGCACAGCGACACGGCCAGCTGGTAAAGCACGCGGCCCCTATAGGGACACACAGCGCCCTATAGGGCAGCTCGACCCTATAGGGACGGCGCGGCGCCCCATAGAGCGCATGGACCCTATAGGGACAGCGCCTCCTAGTGGCAGTACGTGGTCCTGCAGGTGATCCCAATGGGACACAGCGCCCTCTAGTGGCAATACGTAGTACTGCACGCAGCCACAATGGGACACAGCGCCACCCAATGGCAATACACGGTACTGCATGCAGACCCTATAGGGACACACAGCATCTCATAGGGCACCTGGACCCTATAGGGATAGCACAGCACCCCATAGAGCACCTGGACCCTATAGGGACAGAACAGTGCCCCATAGAGCGGCTGGACCCTATAGGGACAGCACCAGCTAGTGGCAATACATGGTACTGCACAGGGCCCCTATAGGGACTCACAGCACCCTATAGGGCAGCTCGACCCTATAGGGACGGCACGGCGCCCCATAGAGCGCATGGACCCTATAGGGACAGCGCCTCCTAGTGGCAGTACGTGGTACTGCAGGTGATCCCAATGGGACACAGCGCTCTCTAGTGGCAATACGTAGTACTGCACGCAGCCACAATGGGACACAGCGCCACTCAGTGGCAATACACGGTACTGCATGCAAACCCTATAGGGACACACAGCACCTCATAGGGCACCTGGACCTTATAGGGATGGCACAGCACCCCATAGGGCACCTTGACCCCATAAGGACAACACAGCACCCCATAAGGCAGCTAAACCCTATAGGGACGGCAGAGCACCCCATAGAGCACCTGGACCCTATAAGGACACACAGCACCCCATAGGGCACCTGGACCCTATAGGGACACACAGTGTCACCCCATGGCACCCCAAACAGCTCCTATAGGAACAGCCCATGTCACCCCGTATTCCCCTATAGGTCCACCCCACATCCCTATGTGCTGCTTCCAGCCCTATGGGTCAGCCCCACACCCCTATAGGGCAGCCCCACACCCTTATAGGTCCACCCCACATCCCTATGGCTCACTTCCAACCCTATAAGTCAGCCCTACTCCCTATAAGGCAACCCCATACACCTATAGGTCAGCCCTACTCCATATAGGGCAGCCCCACAGCCCTATAGGTCCACCCCACATCCCTATGGGTCACTTCCAACCCTATAGGGCAGCCCTACTCCCTATAGGGCAACCCCACACCCTATAGGTCAATCCTACTCCCTATAGGGCAGCCCCACACCCTATGGGTCAGCCCTACTCCCTATAGGGCAGCCCCACAACCCTATGGGTCACTTCCAACCCTATAGGTCAGCCCTACTCCCTGTAAGGTGACCCCCCAGCCCTATAGGTCCACCCCACACCCCTATGGGTCACTTCCAGCCCTATAGGTCCGCCCTACTCCCTATGGGTCAGCCCTACTCCCTATAGGGCAGCCCTACAGCCCTATAGGTCCACCCCACGGCCCTATAGGGCAGCCCTACAGATGTGTGGGGCGCTCACCGCGTGTGCAGCCGGAGGTGGTGGTTGATGAACTCCACGTCGTGGGAATACAGCCCGTAGTCGGGGACCTTCAGCAGGAAATTGGGGAGCTGGGGGGGGGCAGAACGGGGTCAGGGCACTGCGACCCTATAACGACCCTATAATGTCCCCATAGGGCCCCCAGTGCGTCCCCAATGTGTCCCCATAGGATCCCCATAGTGTGCCTATATGGTCCCTATTGCATCCCTATAATGTCGCCATTGTGACACCATAGAGTGCCTACAGGGTCCCCATAAAGTCCCCATAGGATGCCTATAGGGTCCTTATAATGTCCCCATTGTGTGCCTATAAGGTCCCCCATAGCGTCCCCATAATGTCCCCCATAGGGTCCCCATCATGTTCCCATTGTGTCCTCATGGCGTGCCTATAGGATCTCCGTAGCATCCACATTGTGTCCCCTCCCCAAAGTCCCCCATAACCACCCCATATCCCCCCCAAATCCTCCCCAAATCCCTCATAACCACCCCAAAACCCCCCCAAATCCACCCCAGCCCCCCCATAACC